ATTTGATGGGGGCTCGGGGGGGGGGGGGGTGGGGGGGAGGAAGAAAGCAGAGCTCATAGGAGCAGTGCGCAAACAGAGGGAAATGTTTGCATTTCCTCCAGGGACCAAATCCCCTTCCTAGCAACATCGGTCCTTTGGGGCTCTTTTCTAGGGACCTGGGACTTTCACAGCTGAGACCTGCAATGAAACCCACCAGAGTAGACTCTCTACACCATGATAACCTTAAGGGTCAAGCATCCCTGTCATGTTTTTAATAATAACACACACATACATATAAGAATACATGTAAAAATAAAATGTCGACATACATGCATATACCTACATGTATAAAAAGGCAGCTAACATTTATTGAGAACTTATTATGTATTAAGCGAGCTGCAACTGGCTTCACATGGATTATCTCATTTAATTCTTTTAATACTCCTACGAGGTAGGTTTTATTATTATTATTCCCATTTCATAGATAAGGAGATTGAAGTGAGATGGGTCCAAAATCATACAGCTACTGAATGGTATTTGATCACGTAATGGCTGATTCGAAATCCAGCTTTTGTAGGAGCAATTTGTGCTGCCGTGGAAAACTGCATTTTCTAGAGCATGCATTACCAGATTATCTGATTCTGAGTCTATGGGAGCAATTTCACAGCTCTTTAGATTGTAGCTCACTGATAGCAGTGCAAAATAATTCTTGTCTATAGACAGGTGAGTAGATTCTGTCTAGCAGAGGGCCAACCTCCCCTCCTGCGGAAAAAACAGGTTTATGCCCATTTGCACATTCATTTCAAAATTGCTTTACTCCATACAAATGTGTGTGTTGGCTTTTTCCCTTGAACCAGTTATAACATTCCTTCATGTAATAAGGGGGCTAAATAAATTCTTTAATTCATGTTCATTTTGTATCTGTATATGAGGCACGATTTTGCTTTTTAAAAAAATCACCCTTTCACAGTTTCACCAGAAGACTCTCTCTGATGGCTCATGGTAACAACAAGAGGAAATAAACACAGATAGTAACATGTAACTCGATCACCTGGAGGGAGGGCCATTTCCATCCTGTTTGGTTCTTGGTGGCCTGTTACCCGGCAGAGGCCATTTTTCCCCGTCTAGGTGGGCATCAGGAATGTCTCCACCCCCTCAGAGTCCTAACTTAGAGGACGTGGCCGAGAGAGAGTCAAGAATCACTTCTCCGTTCTAAAGCTCACTTCCAACTTCCTCTTCGCATCAGAGGGCCTGCTTCTCTCCAGCCAATGTTACTGAGATGACCCAGAGCCTCTCCCAGGAGGTTCCCAGAGTGCTGCCCTGTGGGCTCCACCGGAAGTACACCCCGGAGTACAGTCAGCCTGACTTTCACACGAAAGAGCTGTATGTACAATTAAATGAATCAATAGGTTTAAACTGCTTAGAAGAGTGACTATAGAAGGGCCATATGAATATTGGCTCAATAACCCTCCCTCCCACATAGATCCTCTAAAAAAAAAAAAAAAAATCTCCAAACCCTGCTGATGTCTGCTATTTCTGTTTTGCTTCTTGAGATCCCAGTGGGGGAATGCGAATGTGCGGGGCTGTCAGGTAATTCCCAGGTTTCTGTTCAGGAACATTCTCAAATAGAACTTTAACTCCCAGTATGATGATCCTGCCTTTGGTGGCCCAGGCATTTTAACAAGGGGGTGAATAAACCACTATATAGCCCCTAAAACCGTATTTAAACCCTGCAGTCTGGAAGAAACCTCAGCTGCTTTGTTTTCACAGGGTAGAAGCGGCAGCCTGGCCTGGTAGGGCATCCCTGGTCTGGGTGCTACATCACCAAAGGGAAGCACAGGGCCAGGAGCCTGACAGCCAAGTTTCTGAGCAGCCTTCTGTCCCATGAGCTGGGGGCAGTGAGAACTGTTGTTTTGCTGGCCCTCTTGGGGCTGGGGCGGGGTAATAGCTTAGCACGGGACAGAGAGGAAGTAAGATGGCACATGAGGAGGTCATCAGGCTGTAGAATATTTGTGACCTCAGCCCAATACTAATGAGGCCCTAAAAAGGAGATATTTTAATGGCAGACTTTCCAGTTTCTTTCATGTGTAAGAAAACACATTAGTGACCGTGGTATTTTAAGCGACCAGGGCAGGCATACCTTGCTTTCGCTTTCATTGGAAAGGATTTCCAGAGCTTCCAGGTGCGACAAACCTTGATATTCATCAAACAGCATCCCATAGTGGGCAGTCCTCTCGGCCGTCAGCTGCTGGGCCAGTCTCTCCTTCTCTTTCTCCTTGGCTTCCCTTAACATCTGCAGAAACACACAATGTTTGTGCCCTGGATGTGGGCTTGAAAGCCTCATTTCCTTTGTATGATGTAGGGAGAGATGAGGACTGGCTTTGTCTTTGTGTCACTTAGGAATTTCTAACAAAATGATTCTTTCATTGATTCTACTGACAGTTTTTACATATTACACGTCGAATCTTACATGTTCACTATATACACAACAAAGCAAAAATTCTACCGCTCACAAGAGGATTGGAAAGAAGCAAAACAGAAGCTGAACGAACAGTGGTTTCCGCTGAAGTGTTTTCTGTGTGTGTGATTAATTTCCTTATTTTCTGAAACACCCGAATTTTCTATAGTGAGCAAATTGATGTACACCGGGAAAGTGTAATCTGTTGTGATAGGGTTCATTGCAACTTCCGCACCCAGCCAGACCTCAGAGTAGCCACAAGTTGGTCTTTGATCGGAGTTACATTATTTTAAAAATTTTATGTGTGTGGTTATTAACCATCTTCGATGAAAAAAAATTCATAAAATATAAACTCAATGCATTCCTTGTCAGATACTCGGTATAAATAAGAATATTAGCTTATCAGTTCTTGAGAAGTAAGACTGGGAATGGAGTTCCTCTCCATGTTGATCATTTTTCTCCAGTTATTTTTTGTTGATTACATAAAGAGAACAAAAGGAACACGAGTACCTCAGTCACTCCCAATTTCCTCCACTTGCTTTCTGTGATTCTAAGCATCTTTTATTTGATTCCTTATTAAGTTTCCTGGGCATTATGTTTATAGGGTTCTTTAGTATCTCTGGAGAGCACCATAAACACAGTGGCTGCCACAAGTTCACAAGGGAAAGATCATGGAAGAACAGACTGTGGTTTTTACTGGGTGTCAATTAAACTGGGTGTCTTCTCCTTCTGGGTTCTTGAGGCCATTAGCCAAAAACTCACTGGGCTTCCGACAGAATTCTCCCCTCTGTCTGTCTGTAAGACTATATATGCACGAGCTCTGAATTTTAAAATTTTCAAAACAACTCCATCAAATGATCACTGGGGATTTTTTAACACTTACAATAAAACCCAACTACTCTCACTGATCTTCCTGACTCGGCACTGGTAAAACAAAACAACCAAGTGACACCAAAATTGCTTCCTTTCCCGAGAGCCACTTCTGTCTCTAACTTTGTGCTTTGGAACAGAGGGGAAGGGATGAAACGAAGGGGGCGTGGGGAAGGTCGCTCTGGAATGATTTGGATTCACTCAGAAGATAGAGAGAAATTAAAGTTGCTTAAAGAAGAACTGGCTTCCCAGAGGATGTCGGTCTATTTTCCACCTGGAAAGGAAAAGGAGATGGTTTGGAACAGCAATGAGTGGTTGTGGCGTGGGAGTCTTCTTCCGGACAGAAGGGTAGCTCTGGAGACTTGCGTCTGTGGGTCCGGAGACCACCCTGTGCCATGCAGATAGAACACGGGAGAAGTTCAGGGAATGTGTGTAGGAACATTTTGGGCTTCTATAGTTACTCAGTTGGATTAGGAAAAACCCAACAGACTTCCCTATGTCAATGGACGGCAGCTTCATCCTTTGAGCTGTTCATGCCAACACCCGTGGAGTCGCTCTTGCTGCCTCCTTATCTCACACCCCACGTTCCCTCCAACAGGAAGTCTGGGTTGATCTTCAGAATATCCCTGGAATCAGCATTCCCCGCCCCCAGGGCTCCACACTGAGCCCCCACGTCCTCCTGCTTAGGTAACAGCACTTGCCCCCTGAGGAGGCAGTGAGAATTGCAGCATCAGTGACCAAGGGCCCCGGATGCTGGATTCACTCAGAAGATAGAGAGAAATTAAAGTTGCTTAAAGAAGCAATCCACGCCTCCCGTGATGAATCACCAGTGCAGCAGGGACCCTGGGGAGACCTGTCCCGGGAGATCAGCTGAAGGACTGTCCCAGGGCTCTGCCCGCCTTTCCTCAGAGGACACAGCAACCTAGGATGCTTTCACCCCATCTTCTCTCCCTCTCCCGATCCCTGGGGTCAGACGTGCATCTTAGTCTGACGGCCCTCTCAGCCGTCTTGCCCCCCACCTCCACTTTCTCGCTCAGCATTTCCCCTAATAAAATCTTCACATGTCAAGGCCATCTTGGCCTCTGTTCCTGGGACAGCCTGCACGGGTACACACTCGACCTGGTCTCCCTGCCCTCAGCCCTCCCCATACCCAGTCTGTTTTCAATACAGTGACTAGAGTGCTCCTGTTACAGGCAGATCTTGTCACTCCTCTTTTCGAAATGCTGTAACGTTTTCCCCATTTCACTAACGGTACAACCTGAAGTCCCTACAAATGCCCTCCAGGATTTGCCATGACCTGCTCCCCATTAGTAATCTAGCCTCATCTGTAACAGTTCTCCTCCCGGCTCACTCCTTTCCCACCATGTAGTATCTTGTTCTTTGTCCACACTAGACACTCCTGCCCCAGGGCCTTTGCACAAGCTGCTCTTGCTGCATGGAATGTGCCTCACTCAGATTTCAGCATGGTCAGGCCCCTCATCTCCTTAAATTATTTGCTCAACTGTCATCATCTCCATGAGGCCACCCCCCCAACAATCCAATTTAATACCTAACCTGCCCCTCACTCCTACATACCTTCTTCCTGCTCTTTTTCCTTTTTTCCCCCACAGCACTCAATCATCTTTTAAAATACTAGATAATGTTGATGGTTTGTTTATCTCTCCTCACTGTAACAAAAACTCCTTAAGGACAGGGATTTTTATCCATTTTGGCTACTGATGTATCTCAAGTGCTTGGAAGAGTGCCTGGCACATAGTGGACATTCAAAATGCGTCTGTGGAATGAATGAATGAATGAATGAATGAATGAATGAATGAAAAGTTACTGTGTGGCAGGAAGTTAGAGTCAGTAGTGTTGTGGTGATCCATGTGAATTAGAGGTGCCATGCTCAAGTGTGCCCCCGAATGTTGGGTACCATACTCATTGCACTTTTCTGATGTGTAATTAGAATAAACATTACAGATGGCTAGTGTGGATTCTCAGGTGACATATTTCCATGAGCATTGCTCCTTACTTTTTAGCAATAGGCTGATAAAAATTGTGAAGGTGGCCCCAAACCTACAGTAATCTGGGAACCTGACCAGATCCAGTTCTCCATTTTAGAGGTGTGTAAATTTCAGACGAGAGTAGAATTAGCCAGTTTCTGTACTTGGTCACATTTCCCCCACATTATCAGTTTCTTAACCAGAATCAAATTTATATACCTACATATATACTTACATATGTATACATAGGAATGCTTATATGTACACATATGTAATATATGTATATATGTGAATATATATGTATATATATGTATATAGAAATTTTATAGATATATGAAATCTCATGGCAAAAATATTCCTACGTGCTCACCAAATATCCTTTTCCTCCTAGACACATGGCTAAACTATATTTCTCAGCTCCCTGAGTTGAATTAGGTAGATAAGTGAGAGATAGGTGTGATAAGTTTTGGCCAGAGGAATGAGGGTAAAGTTCTAAGTTGTCCCACCTAGTCCTCCCCATCTCACCTTCCCCTCTCTATGAGGCTAGAAGTAACGAATTTTAGGATGGCAGAGTCACGGGATACGGGCTCAGAAAAGAGCTACCTGGAGAGTCCCTGGACAGGAATGCTTACATCATAGAAGCAAAAGATAGACTTTTTTCTTTTCTTAGCCACACTGATCCTTGAGTGTTGGTTTTTCTGTGTCGCTTTTGTTTTGCAACATCTAGTATTAATTACCTGATTAATATAAATCTATTTTCTTTTTTTAATGCTTTTTAAAAAAAGATTTTATTTATTTGAGAGAGAGAGAGAGAGCACGAGTTGGGGGGGGGGAACAGAGGCAGAGGGAGAAGCCAGACACGGGGGCTCGATCCCAGGACCCTGAGATCATGACCTAAGCTGATAGCAGATGCTTCACTGACTGAACCACCCAGGCGTCCCTCTGTTTTCTTTTTAAAGATCAGTAGGGTGGTGGTTTAGGTGATCCTGCCAAGTCCCGACCTGAGCTATAATAGCAGAGTGGTTATATGAGGGTTACTCTGGAAGAGACAAGGGGAAATAGTTTAAAACAAAAGCTTTTCAGGAACTGTCACTCACATGGTGTCAGTAATAGTTCATCGGTGGCTTCCTAGTACTGAGCTGTGAGAAGCTATGTTCGTCCTGCCTGCGAAATTTGCAAAACCTGGGGCTATATCCGCCGCTCCTGATTTCAGGAGGGCAAAGACAGACGCGGTGTATCTGACCGTGAGGGAAGAAGGGGACAAGGGGCCACCTTGCACTGCGGCGCATGAATTGGGCACGTGCCATCTAAAAGAGCAAGTTCAGTATTAGTGTTCTATACTTGGAAAATAAGATAAATAGTATTTTTAATTTACCTGACTACTATAAGTAAGCAAAACACAGATTAAATTCTTTTTTTTTTTAAAGTAAAAGCCCTCGATGGAGGGCTTGAACTCATGACCCCAAGATCAAGAGTCACATGTCCTACCGACTGAGCTCTACCAGGTGGCCCACAGATTCAATTCTTCGTATCATATTTCTCAAGGAGGGTTGGGAAACTTTAAAACTGGAAGTGTGAGAAGAGAAGCCCATCCTTGCCCATAGTAAGAGCACTGTAAATTAAAATGCAAATGAAATACCATTTCCACCTATTATATGGACACACAATAATAACAACAATAACCGGCATTCCTGAGTGTTTGCTGAGAGCCGGGTACTATGCTCACTCATTTAATCCTTACGTCAAAGCTATCTGTAGGTAGTGATGTTATACCCAGTACAGATGAGTAAACCAGGGCACGGAGGGGTTAAGTAACCTGTTCAAGGTCATACGGCTAGAACGTGGTAGAGCTGGAATACATACAATAGTGTTATAAACTGAACGCTTGTGTACCCCCAAAATTCACATGTTGAGACCTAGTCCCCGGTGTGATGGTATTTGCAGGTGGGGGCCTTTGGGAGGGGATTAGGTTGAGGGTGGAGCCCTCCTGAATGCGATTAGTGTCCTTATAAAAGAGAGCCCACAGAGCTCCTTCCCTCTTCCACTATGTGAGGACACAGCAAGAAGACAGCTGTCTGTGAACCAGGAATGGGCCACCACCAGACATCGAATCTGCCAGCACCTTGATTTTGGGCTTCCCAGCCTCCAGCGCTATGAGAAATCAGTGTTTGTTGCTTGTAAGACACCCAGTCTATAGTATTCGGTTATAGCAGCTTGAGTGGACTAAGACAAATGGCAAAAATGTAATCTTCAAGAAATTATTAAGTGAATAAAGCAAGGTACAAAAGAGTGTGGTTAGTATACCACCATTGGTCTGAGAAAGTATCTATGTATCTACGTATCTGTATATCTGTATCTCCATCTCATGTATGTATGTATAGCTATATGATAATTCTGAGAGTATCCATAAGAAGCTGTTAACAGTGTTTGTCTCCCATGAGAAACCAAGTGGCTGGGGAAAGAGGTGTATCAGAAACTCAATTTTCATTCTCTACTAATCTTATGTCATTTGAATTTAAGTCATGTGCTTGAAAATACCTATTAAAAAAGATACATAAAAATGCATTTACTTTACAGACTGAAAGAAAACATTGCAAACGTGTATAATCCCACCTGTGATAAGGAAACGGTTCTCTCCATGAGTGTCTTGGTCCGCTTAAAGCCTGGGTCACTCTCCGCAAGGACATTCATGGTTTTCTTACCGATGAATTCCAGAGCATCAAGACCACCCGTTAAGACACTTTTACCCTGCCAATGAAATAATTGCATGAGATTAGTTTTTGCCTTTTGCTTTTCCACAGCAGTCAGCAACTCCTAGATGGCACCATTTTCAGATATTAAAATCAATATAAAGTCACAATTTTTTCTCATTAGCTGTCTTCTTAATATCCACTTCATCCTAGTTTCTTTTCCTTGGAAGGGCATATGTCATATAATTTGTAGGACAGATGATATTATTTAAAAAGGGTGCTTAGGAAAAACCAAAGCATATTGGGATAAATTTTGCTGGTTCTGTGTGTAGGAATAGATATGTATCTAAGACATAAAATTAATAGGTGATCCCACTACTGTTTTTGTTTGAAAGAATGTTAACCCAAGTAACAGAATTATGTGGAGCAGTCTATTAAGATGTCAAATACTCTTGCCAATTTAGTGAATTCTTTAATCTAGAGCCTTGGAGTATAGGACCCCCAGGCTGTGTCAGATGGCTCTTGCATACTTTCAGAAACTACTAATAACCGCCTATAATTAGTATATTCATGAAATAAGACAGGTTGATTTCCATAGACCACTGGCTTTAGAAACTGTTCGATCATACAGTTACCCTTCTGCAAATCCTCTTGTCAGCCATTGTTTTCCTTAAAAAAGAAAGATTAAAACAACCAAGCTTTACTCACATAAACTGTTCATATAAATAGAACGGCTTACATTTCTTTGCAACTTCTATACAAACACTCCCACTTCACAACTGCTCTTACACTATGCATACATCTGTGTTTTTTCCACCTTACACCAATTTATATACATTATATTTTAGTATTATGTTATTGCCTATATACATTTCTAATCTTAATTATTGCTTCATTAGCAATATTAGACTTCACTGAATATACTTTAGTTGTCATTTCCATCTTGGACATTTAGACTTTGTTTTCAGATTTGGGAGCCAATCAACAGTCACACTATAAAACAGATTTTAACACACACATATTGTGGAAGGACTAGGGGATATCGGCAATGTATATTTTTGCGTAATATGGTTTATTTTCTTTTAACACCCTATGAGGGGTTACTTTGGTAAACATCACATGGGAGAAGGAAGGACAGAGGGACTTCGATGAAGGGCGGACCTGGTGGGAGGGTCTGGAACTTTGGAAAAGAAAGTATCAGAAGGTAGAAGTGAACACAGACTGGAAATGGGGGTGCTGAAGACAAACTCAGAGTGCCCTGCATTGTCTCAGGGAGACGAGGAACTCAAGTCTCATAACCACGGCTACCGAAGGAGCTCCTCCCCATCCCCGATCCTACCCACCCCTCACTGTAGACATACTGGACTTGCGATGCTCTCTGACTGCTCAAACACATTTGCTGCTTCCCATTCACCCTACCTAGTCTACAGGGCCTCAAGTCACCAGGAGAAGAGCTGGCATTTTCTAATTCTGGCATGCCCGGACCCCAGAGTCTGGGTAAGATACCCTCACCTTCTCTTCTTCCCACATTGCTTTGTACTTGCCTGTCAAGTTGTCTCTATCTTCCAGAATGTTCTGCCCTCTTGTTTGTCAGTATATGCCCAGCATCTAGCATAGCTCCTGCCCCACAGTGAGGGCTGATCACCTTTTTTTTTTTTAAATGAATGAATGAATAAGTTGGATAGCAACTATATTTCTAGAAAAACTAGCTGGTTGGTTTTACACGGCAGAAAATAAACCTTTTCTTCTTGTCACTGAAGACCAGCTAGGTGTGTCATCTCGGTTGGGGGGGCCTCCCTCTTTTTTCATTATTCATCAGTGTGTTGTTGCCAATAACACACTTCTTTAGGAGGCAGGAAGGGGTCTGGGGCGGGGGAATAAACAGGGTTATTTTAGGAGAGTAGGAATTGGGAGGTAGGGATGGGGGAAGAATGTCGGTCTTAGTTACCTGGAAACACTTCAGAAACATCTCGGGATGTTGTTCCCAATTCCCTACCAGCATTTTTTTTTTTTTAATCTGAATGGTTTTATCATTTTCAAATTGAAGGTTAAGAAACACAGACCATCTAGGAAAAACAGCTGTCTCAGCTCTAAGAAAGAGCCCTCTCTCCTCCCCCAGCCAGAGGCTGTCCTTGCAGCTGTTGGAAAGGACACTGTTACATCAGACTGAAAATATTCCTTCTAAGCAGCTCTTTTCTTTTAAACATAAAATATATATCTTTTGCCCTTATTATTTTGGTGCCAAGGTTACGCCTACTCTGGAGGAGAAAAAGCATAATAAAACCATAATCCAAAGTTATGAGCGAGGCCATCTTTTCTCTAATGTATCTGGGTCACTGGTAAATACAAATATCAAAAGAAGGTGCTGGAAGACACAGGGGAAACAGAGCAGCAGCTAAGGACTCACTGTGTTTTGAACGACGTTGGTGATGGTTGACAGCATGCCCCGAGACCCGGATGCAGGAGAAGTGGGTGGGCTTTCTGCAGGGCTCTGATCTGTGGCCACATCTGCTAGTTGGGAGAAAAACATCCTCTTAGAGTTCATTCTGCTGATCTGAGCTTAGAAAGCTTCCATTTGTGCACATACGGCCCAAGTCCAAAAAGCGCCCCCAATAAATGCATCACTCACTCTGAGGCACTCCATTTTCAGCATCAGGTTGGGCCCCTTCGGGAGAGCTGGAATTTACACTATGAATCCGCAGGGTGGCCCCTGCTTTTTCCTTGACTGCTGTCAATCCATGGCCTGTCAGGAAATAAAAGTATGGTTCAGGAAAACAATAGAAACCCCTGGGTCTGCCAATTCAATAGCTCATGTTCCAGGGCTGTCGTGAGCTGTAGGTGTCCACCCTGGTTGTAAGAGACTGCGGTGGTTAGCAGCGTGGACGTATCCTCTTTACTCTTTTCTAAACTCCTCAAAACAGGCATGCATTATTCATTTTTGGATTCCTTACAGGCCTAGCCCGTCACAGACCCTCAATTCATATTTGTTGAACTGAAATCAAGTGAGGCTCATCATGTTCTCTCAAAGGGTTCATCCTTCTTTCGGGGCAGAGAGTGCAAGGTCTGGGGCTGATAGGTCAAAATTAAAAGTCCAATCGGTGAGAAAACAGGAGGGGCACCCAACGGCTCTGACAGTTGTCCTAAGCAGTAACAGTCAGGATGAAGGACACTGGCTTTAGCTCAGGCAAGCGGGGCCCGCACATCCACATTCTCTGCAGCCCAGCACAGAGCATATTCGAGAACTATTTGGTAAACACAGAGCTGACCTCCTCATCCCAGCACCCCTGCCACACACACAAACAACCCCCCCCTCCGCCTGGCAGAGAAAGAGTCTTGTCCACATTTTATGGAGCAATTTTTTTTCCTCCTAAGAGGCCCCCACGATGAGCTGTAGCTTTTCTTCTCAAGTTTCCAAACTGAACACAAAAATTAATAGTCTACTGAGAGTCCTAAGTGGCTGTTTGGGTCCTTGAAGGAGCAATAGCCCGGTGTGCCCCTGTCTCAGCACGCACCTCCCCCTCAGTCTGCAGGGAAAAAGGCGAAGATTTCACTAGGAAGCCAGGCAACGTCAGGTTATTAAAACCCAGGCCAGCAGCAATATTAATATGTGGGGGAAAAGTCCCAAATCATGGCAGGATTTGAGAACCAAAGAGAAGCGCCTACTCTTAGAAAGCGCTGTCAAAATGACCAATTATTCATCTCCTGAATAAGAGAAAGACATGGATGAATCCCAAACCCAAATAAGAGTATTTTATCGGTTGTAACTCTACTTATCAGAGTGAACTTTTTTTTTTTTAAAGATTGTATTTATTTATTTGACAGAGAGAGACACAGCGAGAGAGGGAACACAAACAGGGGGAGTAGGAGAGAAACAGGCTTCCTGCAGAGCAGAGAGCCCGATACAGGGCTCCATCCCAGGACCCTGGGATCATGACCTGAGCCGAAGGCAGACACTTAACGACTGAGCCACCCAGAGTGATCTTAACATAATCAGGGCACTGATATTTACCAAACAGAGGACTAATTAAATCCACTGGAAATCACCTGTCATTATACACTATCGAGAAAACAGGGAAACTTAAGAAATATTATTTACAATGCTTACCACATTAATTTCATACAGAAATATGTCTATATTCATGTGCAGCTCATCAGATATAGTTCAGACTTATTATCAAGTTACTTGGGAAAAAAACATGCCCTGTAACTGCTAAAACTAAGGCTGAAATTCATTCTCTCTAGCTTCCGGTAAATTCCAAGCATTTCAAGGGAAACTTACTGGAATTTCAGTAGCACATTGAAGTTAAAGGATATCATTGAACTTATTTACACACCGAGTCCATATTCCTTGCCATATTTTAAAAACATATATTTTCCAAAAGGAAATAATGTACATCCAAATCACAATCATGATTCTCATTGAGATTTCTGAGGGCTTAAAGTAAAGTAATAAATGAGTTGAAGAAGGCTGGGAGGCATCTGCTACACTTTCTTTGTGAAAGCGGTACAAGAAAGATGATTCCACATCCTTCACGCAGGGTTCAGTGAAGCTCATTGTCATTATCTCCTTCACCTTCTTTGCCCCTTTCATGTGAGGACCACGTCTGATTCTTTTCCTAGGAAAAAAAACAGCTTCTCGCCATCTCAGAACACAAATGATTAGGGGTATGTCTCCATTAACTGTCTCTAGAAGAGTTACTGTTTCTGGAAGGAAATACCATGTTTGTGTTCATATAAATGGGATGTGCCTGTTTAGTACATATGATACTATGCTGCTACTCCAGCCTCTCTCTTTCTCTCTCTCTCTTTCTCTCTCTCTCTCTCTCTCTCTCTCTCTCACACACACACACACAGCTTTACTGAGGTATAACTGCTATACAAAAAATTGCACACATTTAAGTTTGCTCCAACTTATTTTCTGATGAACAATTCTCTTTCCTGAATTCTTTTGTTAAAGTACATCTTTACTGCATTCTACCAGAAATAGAAAGCTATGGTTCTTCACAGATAAGGTTTAGACGATGCCACACCCTACTTTGAAGAATAACTTCTAAAACTTTACTTAGTGTGACATCTAGTGCCCAGAATAAGTAAGTAATAATATGGAGTTGTTGCCTTTTGACTGTGAGTGACTCATTCTCAGAGATATTGATTAGGTTTTACCAGTAACGGGGGAAAAAAAAAACCTAACAAATACGAATAATACTCTAGTGTATAATTCATGGATTCTTTATACATCATCACGAACCCTAAGTATCCTCAAAGTAATGAAACTCCTCCAAATTCCACGGCTCTAAAAGTAGGCTATCCTTTATGCCTTGACTTATTGCACAGAAATAGGTGAATATTGCAAAGAAGATAAGAACGTTGTACAAATGCTGTGAAACTGTATCATTTTAAAGCAAATGTTAAATGACTGGCTGGTGTTTAATTTCTCACCTAAACTCTAGTGGGAAACATCCTTAACTTAGGAGTCAGGAGGCTTGTGGAGGAATTTGGGTTCCGTCATTTGTTAGCTGTGTGATCTTCGCGAGTTACTTAACCTCTCTGAGTCTCTACTGTTGTGTCTTCCCTGAAAGGAGGATTATAACATCTATCTCCCAGGGTCCTACAAGGTCAGGAGAAATACGTGAAACCCTTGGTCCTGGCCAACATTTATTGAACAGTTACTATGTCCCAGGCATTGGACTAAATATTTTTAGTCTAGTAAATTATCTCATTTAGTCTTCTCATTATGAGGTAAGGGATATTATTATTCCCATTTCACAGTGGAGAAAATGGAGATCTGGTGACATGTAATCGTCTGCCGAAGGTCGCAAAGCCAATAAAGGGCAGAGGCAGGATTTGAAGCCAGTCCTAACTCTAGAATTTACACACTTAGTCGCTATGTTATATTTAGAAAGTTTTATATGCCATTTACAGTTGATAAAATGTCATTTTAGTCCCATTTCTATAACTGCTTAGAAATCAGATCCTTGATCAGGAGCTTTCTTATTTTTAAAACACTGGCTTAGGCTAAAATTACTTGACTTACCTTACCTTGACTAGAGAGCAAGGTGAAGGTCACCTCCGGAATGGAAACTTCCTCTAATCCTGCCCCTTTTAGCCAGGCCTTGGGTCGGCATAATGTGATGTTTTTAGGATCACCCCCATGCTGTGCAGGCATAGATCCTAAGACACGGTGTGGTGTTATCTTATACATCCAGTTTCATTTTTTTTTCTCCAAAAAGCACTGCGATATCACCAAGCCATTATTTTGTGAGTCCACCAAGATCAAAACCCAAGATCAAAACAAATTAAAAAATAATTTGTTGGTGGTGGGAGGGTCTCTCTGTCCAAGTGGTAACTTAGGGAAGCAACAGCAGTTCTCTGTATCACCCTGGATGACTGGCTAGCGCTAGGAGTACTTTCTACTGGTCCCCTACAGTAAAGCATCTATAAGTAGGGCATCAGCTAGCTCATCCAGAGGGCTCCCTCTCCACTTTAATTTTTTAAATATTTTTTTATTTTAATTTTATTTTTTTAATTTAAATTCAATTAGTTAACATATAATATATTACTGGTTTCAAAAGGTAGAGGTCAGTGATTCATCAGTCTTATATAATACCCAGTGCTCATTACATTACATGCCCTCCTCAATGTCCATCATCCAGTTACCCCATCTCCCCACCCCACTCCCCTCCAGAAAAACCTCAGTTTGTTTTCTATGATCAAGAGTCTCTTATGGTTTGTTTCCCTCTCTGATTTCGTCTTCCCTATGATCCTCTGTTTTGTTTCTTAAATTCACATATGAGTGAGATCATATAATTGTCTTTCTCTGATTGACTGATTTTGCTTAGCATAATACCCTCTAATTCCATCCATGTCATTGCAAATACTTTAATTTTTAATATAATGTTTCTTTCATTTCATTTTCTTTAAAAAATGGATATATAAAAAAGAAACTAAAAAAATCTTATAATCTCACTTTCCTGATATAGCTGGTTGATTTTTATTTTATTTTTTTAAAGATTTTATCCATTTATTTAGAGAGAGAGAGACAGAGAGAGAGAGAGAGAGAGACAGAGAGAGAGTATGTGTGAGTGGGGAAGGGGCAAAGGGAGAGGGAGAGAGAATCCCAAACAGACTGCAGGCTGAGCATAGAGACTGACGTGGGGCTCCAACCCATGACCCTGAGATCATGACCTGAGCTGAGATCAAGAGTCAAACACGCAACCTACTGAGACCCAGGTGTTCCCTATGGAAATACTTAAGACCTGAAAAAACATATTGCTTCTAAAAGACAAAAAGGAAAATTATATGCAAACAATGAATCCTGGAACACTACATCAAAAACTAATGATGTAATGTATGGTGATTAACATAACATAATAAAATAAAATAAAAAGAAATAAAAAAATAGTGTTAAAAAAAGAAATGAATCAATATTTACTTAAATGTACTCAAAATGTGATATTAGGTCAACTGGCCCACTGTAGTTCAAATGAATTCAACTCTTACACAGTTATACGTAAATTACATATTTAATGAGGCACACGGCTACATTTCATTATGTTTGCTGTGATTGAGAGGGCCTTCAAAAGGAAAAGTGCTTGGCACTCTTAAAAGACTCTGACTCTGCCTTCCTCCCCATCCCCCCCAACCCGCCATTTCCTTCTAAAGATAATAGCTCTTATTTGTTTGTGATTCTTTTCATAAAAAAATTTAAAAAGCATATACGTGTAAGTGTTCTGGACCTGGCCTCTTCCACTTCAAAATATACAG